GGCTGGCCTTGAGCTCACTTTGTAGCCCAGGCTGGTCTCGAACTTCCAACAGTCCTCCTGCCTCAGCCTCCCGAGTGCTGGAATTACAGGCGTGCACTACCACGCCCGGCCTGAATCTGTGAATTGAATGGACGAATAAATGGGTGAAATGTCCGGTCCTCACAGCCCCTCACTGACGGGAAAAGCCCCTTTCCAGGGGCACAGACAGCGAAGTCACCAAGTCAGGTTTTCTCAGCAAGCTGGGGGATTTGAACCTGGGTCAGCCTAATTTAACTGTCCCATGAAGTGGCCTCTGACCGTATCCCCTGGACAACCCCTGTGCCTGACACCAGAACGCTCACTTCCCAGATGATAAAACAGATTCAGCAATGTCAGTGGTCTGGAACCTGCACACCTACCCCTGCTCTGGGCCTCAGTTTTCTCCTGGGTAAAATAGACCTGTCTTAGGTCCTAGTCTCCCTGATAGCTGGCCGGAGAGGAGGGCTGGGCGTTCCTGAGACTCCTGTGCCCGGCACCCAACTCACACAAAGCCAGTTTGGGAAGTCCCTTCCAGCAACTGTCACAGTGGCCCCAACAAAGGACAGAGAACCCCTTTTTTATTTTTTTGAGAAAGCGTCTTGCTATATAGTTCCGGCTGGCCTCGACTTGCCACAATCCTCCTGCTTCAGCCTCCCAAGTGCTGGGATTATAGGCGGCCCCTCCGCACCCGGCATGAGAGCCCCTGCTTTCTGGGTTAAATGTTAGGAAAACAGTTTTGGGAGTGAACAAGGACAGAAAATCCCTTTGGATGGGAGTGGAGGCGCCTACAGCCGTCCAGCCATTTCTGGGTTTGGTAGCTATGCAGGATAGAATACTAGGGAGCATGGCGCTGGGGATATAGCTCAGTGGCATAAGCACCTGCCTGGCAAGCTCAAGGTCCTGAGTTCGATTTCTGGTATGGCTGCTACAGACAACCATGAGGAGGGTGTTGGTCCTCAGGCAAGAGACACAGTCCAAGAACATTGGGGAGCAGCACATCGGGGCTTCCGTAGTTGAGGACCTGGGGCAGGGACACTTGGACTTTCAGAGGTTCAGCTTTTCTTCCACAGGATAGGCAGGATTTGGCGAGGAAGTGCAGGCAGCCTTACCCCATATTCAGGTGCCCTTCATCCTCTGCTTAGCAGGGCCAGTGCTCTTCCCCCTAGAAGCACCCAGGCCGGAGGCCCTGGAGTAGCAAAGGAAGAACCACAGTTTCTCATTTCTGGTCATCCCAAGCAAAGGATCCCTGCAGGTCCTAGACGTGGCGGGGGCTCAGGGCTGCCCACCCCGCCTGTAACGGAGGCTGTCTCCTTTGACCCCAGACACGGCTGTGATCACACCCCAGGACCCCACGCTCCTCATTGGCTCCAACCTGCAAGCCACATGCTCGGTGCTGGGGGACCTGCCCGGGGCCACTGCCGAGGGTCTCTACTGGACCCTCAACGGGCGCCGCCTCCCCGCCGAGCTCTCGCGAATGCTGAACGCCTCCACCCTGGCCCTGGTCTTGGCCAACCTCAATGGGTCCAGGCAACAGTCTGGGGACAATCTCGTGTGCCACGCCCGCGACGGCAGCATCCTGGCTGGCTCCTGCCTCTACGTTGGCTGTAAGTAGCCCCCGGGCACCGACACGACATGGGGGCAGCATCCACCTGGGATTGAGCCGGGCACAGGTTCAAGGGCCAGGGGCCTGGGGCTACAGCGAACGTGGGGACAGCCTGACCGCCACAAGGGGCAGCCCACAAGCTCGGGCGTGGCTCGGTGGTGGAACCCGTGCTTACTGTGGTGAGGGTGGTTCCATTCCCCGTGCACACGAGGGCCTCGCAGCCTGGCCACGCCCGCATGCCAGTGCATCTTGGGGACGGGGCTGAGACCACCCTATTCATCCCCTCCAACCCCCCTTTGCCCCTAGTGCCTCCCGAGAAGCCCTTCAACATCAGCTGCTGGTCCAAGAACATGAAGGACCTCACGTGCCGCTGGACACCGGGGGCCCGCGGTGAGCCCTTCCTGCACACCAACTACTCCCTCAAGTACAAGCTCAGGTCGGTGCTGTCCCCTCTGCCCCCTGGCTGGGGTGTGTGACCCTGGGCCCACCCTGGCCTCAACGCCCCCTGTTCGTGTGTGTACCCCAGGCCGCTGCGGTGAGGCCTGGGCACCAGGAGGGACTGTCTTCCATGTCCCGGTTCCCTGCTGCCCCCCAGGTGGTATGGGCAGGACAACACCTGTGAGGAGTACCACACCGTGGGCCCACACTCCTGCCGCATCCCCAAGGACCTGGCGCTCTTCACGCCCTATGAAATCTGGGTAGAGGCCACCAACCGCCTGGGCTCGGCCCGCTCTGACGTGCTCACACTAGACATCCTGGACGTGGGTGAGCCCCAGCCTGCTGCCCCCTGCATGCCGCCCTCAGCTGCTGTCCCTGCTGGGGGGGACAGTGGGCACCCACCCGCCAATCCCGAGCCCTGAAACAGCCAGGATAGCCCTACTCTGCGGAGAACACCTGGCCCGGCGCCTTCCCCGCCACAGCCAGGTGTGCAAGAGGGGGCCCAGGGGAGCAGGAGGGGGCGCCCAGGTCGGGAGGCGCCCCAGGAAGCCGAGGCCCAGAGCGGAGAGGTGCGGGCGGGAGGCAGGAAGTGGATGATCCGCGCGCAGAATTGGGCCTAATCTAATTAGGGTGTTTCTCAGCCCCAAGCAGGCCTGTGCCTTAACCCTTTCGGCCCTCAGCAAGGCCTGTGGGGAGAGGCGGGCCCTCTCCTAGGCCCAAGGGAGCATCCCCGGGGAGCCCCAGCCGCTCCCCTCTTGTCATCTCCTGGGGCTGCAGTGCCAAAGTTCTGAGCCTCTGTTGTGTCCCGGCCCAGAGGAGCGGCCCCAGGGCGGGTTTGGGCGCCGAGGGAAGGGCCAGAGGTGAGGGGTGTCGCAGCTCTGAGTGAAAACAGTATCACTGGCAAGGGGCTTCGCTTTGTTTTTGCGGAGCTGGGCCTGACCCCCAGCCCTCGCACGCGCTAGGCAAGCGGCCCCCAGCCCTCAGCTTCGCCCCTGGGACGAAGGATTACGTTTCTCCCATCACAGATAATACGGTGATAACAGCTACCGTTAACTGAGTGCCTGCCGCTGGATACTGAGCATTCTAGAGTATTATATCATGTAATTCACCAGCCGGGCAGAGAGCTCAGGGAGGAGGGGAAACGGAGGCAGGCCCACCTCAGCCGTGCGCCCTGGACCCCGCTGCTGGGGGATCTGAGCCCAGACAGTCCCAGACTGTCATCGGCCACCCGAGAAGAGGGGTCCCAGGTCACCAGGCCCTGCTCCGCCCCACAGTGACCACGGACCCTCCGCCCGAGGTCCATGTGAGCCGCGTCGGGGGTCTGGAGGACCAGCTGAGCGTGCGCTGGGTGTCACCGCCGGCTCTCAAGGATTTCCTCTTCCAAGCCAAGTACCAGATCCGCTACCGCGTGGAGGACAGTGTGGACTGGAAGGTGGGCGCCCAGCCCCTCGGGCCAAGCCCTCCACCCGGCCCCGCCCTCCACCCGGCCCCGCCCTCCACCCGGCCCCACCCTCCACCCGGCCCCGCCCTCGCTATGCAGGTGGTGGATGACGTCAGCAACCAGACCTCGTGCCGCCTGGCTGGTTTGAAGCCGGGCACCGTCTACTTCGTCCAAGTGCGTTGCAACCCCTTTGGCATCTACGGCTCCAAAAAGGCCGGGATTTGGAGTGAGTGGAGCCATCCTACTGCCGCTTCCACCCCCCGCAGTGGTGAGCATTCCGGCAGGGCTGGGGTGGGGGCCGAGAGCAGAGGTCTCAAAGGGGTGACTTCCAGGGCCAAGAACGACCCTGGATTGACTAGCACAGTCTTTGTTGGGGGGGGGGGTAAAATTTGACGTACTTGTAGAGATTCAGAAACAGGAAGTGCCTGGCATGGTGGCACACACCTGTCATCCCAGCACTGAGGATGCTGAGGCAGGAGGATCGCTCAGTTCAAGGCCAGACTGAGCTACATAGTTCAAGGTCAGTTTGAATTACATAGCAAGACCCTGTCTCAAAAAACCAAACAAAAACAGGGAATTCGTACGCATATACTCTAGATTTCCTTGAAAAGTAAGTTCTGTAGAAATGCAGCAAAACAGCCCGCATTGCTGTATGTATGGCCCCAGTGTGGGCCGTCCCCCATGGGAGCCTCCCTCACCATTTGGCCCCCCTGCCACCTGGGCCACTTCTCCCCTGTACCCACCCTCAGCCCCAGAGACCAAGCGCATTTAGACCCTGCCTCTGAGTGTTGGGCCTCTGCTTCCCTTCCAACCAAGACGGGGGATGGGCGGAATTAGGGGCCTGGGTCTGACTTCCATCGTCCTCTGGGGTTTCCCTGAACCCTTAGATTCTCTGCCCTCCCTTGTGAAATGGGATGAAATCCAGTACAGTTTCCCCATCTGGAAAGTGGGGGCAAGAGCTGCACCCGGCTCCGGCTTTTGTGAGGCTTAGGGACACCACCCGTCTGCAGGCGCTAGGTAAAGAGGCTCCCGAGCCCCTTACGACTTCACCCTAAGGGAGGCCCCCTTTCCCCAGGCGATGACCCTGAGCTCTAGGTCCACGCTTGGACCCGGATTCAGTTCAGTGACAGTCCAGCCCCACCCTGGCGGGAAGGTGGGGAAACTGTGGCCCGAGAGGGTCCCAGGACCAGGAAGGGGCAGAAGCAGGCTCCAGCCAGCTCCCCAGCCCCCATCCGGGCCCCTGCAGGTTCTGCGGTGGGCGGGAGCGAGCGCCGGGAGGGGCCTGAGCCTTGGCCCCCGATCGTGCCCAGCACCTGCGATTCTTGCGCGGGAGCCAGGAGGCGCCGTGGCCGCTGGGGAGGCTGGGGGAGGCCAGTGGGGGCGGCGGGGGCCGGGGCCGTGCCAGGGCCTGTCAGCGGGTCCCCAGCTTTATTTATGACGTGAGGCCGATGTCCTTATCCGACGGCCTGCATGGGGGCTGGCTGCGGCCAGCGCTGGACAGACAGACAGGCGGCCGCCCACCTGGCCTCGGCCCCTCGCGGCCGCTGGCGCCGGCTCCCGCGCATCCCGGGGACGGCCCCTGGGGGCGCCACTCACGCTGCCCCCCCCGCCACTCCTCCCCGGTGTCTCTTCCTCCCTCCTTCCTCTTTTTCTCCATTTTCTTTCTTTTTTCCTTCTGTTTTCCTTCCTTCCTTTTCCAGTGGTGTGGACAGAACGCCGGACCTCACGCACTCTTCCCTTCTCGCTCCCCTGGCGGCATCCCCTCCTCGCCCCTTCTGCATGGCCCTCCCTGAACATCCTGGGCTGTCTGTCCCGCGAGTTCCGTCCCCCAGCCTCGGCAGCGCGGTGTCGGCTGGATTTCTCCCTTTTCCTCTCTGCCGCCTGCTGTCTCTGTCGTCCCTTTGGCCCTGGCCTCCCTCCCCCTGCAGCCCTTGCGTTCACACCTGGCTCAGGCCGCGGGAATCGGGTTCCTGCCGGCGTGTGGGGGAGGAGCCCGTTCCTTCCCGCCCCTCCTCCCCAGGGCGCAGCTGGCCCGAGCGTAGACGCTATCTCGGGACGCGGGAGGAGGCCCGGGTCCGAGGGGCGCAGGTCCCGCAGCGCCCCCTCCGCGCCTGCCCGCGCGCCCCCTGCCGGCTGCGCCCGACACTGCGCTCCGCCCTTAGAGCGCCCGGGCCCGGGCGGTGGGGCGTGCGAGCCGCGGGGCGGAGAGTCGAGCTCGGGCCCGGTGCGGCGCGAGCTCAAGCAGTTCCTGGGCTGGCTCAAGAAGCACGCATACTGCTCGAACCTCAGCTTCCGCCTCTACGACCAGTGGCGGGCCTGGATGCAGAAGTCGCACAAGACCCGCAACCAGGTAGGGAGGGGGGGGACCCGCGGGCGTGGGGACCCGCGGGCGACGGAGGGGACGCAGGTCTGCAGAGCCCACAACACTGCTGCCTTCTTTCCAAGCACAGGACGAGGGGATCCTGTCCTCGGGCAGACGGGGTGCGGCGAGAGGTAAGGGGGCCGGGTGGCAGGAAGTTACGGACTTCCTGGTGGCTGCAGACCCCACCTCTCCTGGGTCGGCAGCCTTTGCTCAGCACCGACGGTGTCCGCAGCGCGCAGCTTGTAGCCTAGCTAGGAGCCTCCACGCTGCAGCCTCGTCCTTAGCGAGTCTGAGGACCAGCTGCATGCGGGCCCTGGGTCAGGGGCTCTACCTGCAAGGGACCCCAAATGTGACCAGGAAGTCTCCCTTCTTAGAAGGGGAAGCCAAGGCCCAGAGAGGGGCGGTGTCCCCACTAAGTCCACAGGGCCGAGAGCCTCACAGGACAGGACTCCCACCTCGCTGCTCAGCCCGGGTCCTCTTGTGCCCGCAGGTCCTGCCTGACAAGCTGTAGTGACCAGGGCCACCCTCCCTGCCACGCGGAGACCCAGGGACCAAGCCAAACCGTTCCCTCACTTCAGGGCATCCAAGCACCATCGGCCGGTGGGAGACAGGCAGCGCCGACGGCTGACGGCCCCACCCCTGGGTGCGCCCCAGCGTGAGGGTTCGCTGAGCTGCTCCGACCCCTGCCGGGACTCAGGGTCAGAGGGCCCATTGCTCGCCCAGCCTGGGGCCCCTCCAGTCTTTTTAAATAAATGAGCTCTTTAGGTGCTCTGATTGCGGAGGTGTTGGAAGCCCGAGTGGGGCTGTGGGGCTTGGGGGAGATGGGGCGCATCCAAGAGACCCTTTGGGACTGGAACCCCCTCCCGGAATTTCAGGCTTTCCCTGCAAGTCCTGCAGCCTCCGCCTGTCTGCTTCCGGAACTCCCGGCAGCAGCTGTGAGTCACAACTCGGGAGTTTCCGGCAGGGTGCGGGTCCCCCAGCTCCCCCTCGCCCGGGGCCCCCTCCCCAGGCACAGGGCCCCAGGACAGAGGCAGAACAGCTACAGACACTGGCTTCTTTATTGTGGGCGGTGCCGCAGCAGAGGGGTCCCCGGCCCCCGGGGGCCGCGACCTCGGCCAGCTGGCGATCACGGCTGGGCTGGACGCCACCGGCCTCATTTCCCAGCCCTCTCAGGGCGTCCCCGGGGAGCCACCATCACTCTGCAGATTCTGCATCAAACCTAAGGTCCTGGAGAACCTCGCCGATCGCCTCCATGGTTTTAATTACCCTAGGAGAGCGGATGAGAACTATAAATAAAACCCAGATGGGGCGAATTAGCTGCCGCTGCGCAGTTAGCTCCGAGGGGGCTGCGGGGAGCCCAGGGCCCTCCTGCCCGCCCGCCCGCCCCCGCAGCTCTAGGCAGCGCTGGGGACGGTGGCTGGTGGGGCGGCTGCGTGGGTCAGGGCTTGGGCACCCTGGCCAGCGGGAGGGTGCAGGCCGTGGAGGTTAGAGTGGCGGGTCCCAAGTCCAAGCTCCCAGTCCAGCTCAAGCGCAGGACTGGCACTGGCCGAGGGGGCAGCTGCGTCCCAGCAACGACTGCAAGTTTCCGCGGGGGAGTTGCAGATACACGTGCGTAGGGACATCAGGTGAGGACACGGGGTGCAGCACCCCAAAGCTTGCGCGCAGGTCTGACTGGGCCCTTTCAAGCCCAGCTATGCCAGGGTGATGGGCGGCAGCGCTCACTTCAGCTTCAGCTGGTGCGTCTGTGCAGGGTCCTCTTGCTCGGCCAGCTCCGGAGTCTCCATCAGCTGCAGCGTGGCCGCCTGGTGGGGGGATGGGCGGCGAGGAGGATGTCACATCACAGCAGGCAGAAGCCACCTCCTGGCCGCCTCCGCTGTTGCAGAGACAAAGGAGTCCAAAAAGGCCGGGCAGGGGCAGAGCCAGCAGGGCGGGGCTCCTCAGGAAAGTGGCAGGGAGGGCGAGGCAAAGTCCAATTGGAGCTCGCTAAAGTTATCGCCTTATGTACGCATGGTCTGGGAAAACCCAGGAAATAACCACCAGAGACGGGCGACCAGAATGGAGTTGGTGGGGACCTTACGGTCCTAGGTGGGTACGGGACACTACAAACCCAGTTGGAGGCAGATCGAAAACTCATCCTGGGGCGGGTTTAGGCCTGGGAATCCAAGCGCAAAGTGCAATGTGGGTGTGGCTTCGGATGGAGTGCCCACCCCTGTGCCAGGATTGGGTGACGGTCAGAGTAGGCGGGGCTTGTAGCTACGGTGTGACCCCCAGTCTATAGATACTCAGGGGCATGATCTGAAATCCCTGTTCTTACTGGCAGATTGAGAACAGAAAAAAGTGGGAACAGCCTGAGGGTGGGGCCTCGGGAAGGCCGGTTCAGGCGTCCGGGGATATCTTTAGACTGGGCTAGAATGAAGTGGGGGTTTCCTGAACTAGGAACAAAATTTGTGACAAAGTTGGGGCAGGAACTGCGGCACTCTGGGAAGCTGAGTCAGGAGGATCACAGGCTCAAGATAAACCTGACCAACTTCGTGAGACCCTGTCTCAGAATAAAAAGGGGTGGGGGTGTACTTGGTGCGATGGGTCTGGGTTCAATCCCGTAGCGACCAAAAAAGAAAAAACGGCGGTTAGGAAGCAAAGCCCGAGAACGCTCAAGGGACGGCCGCGAGGAGGACGGCCCGGGGTCTGCTCACCGTGACCAGGCGCGATTGCTCCAGCTGCTGGAGGCTGCGGACGTGGCCGGCGAGCAGCGGCTGCGCGCGCGGCCCGGCCAGCTCGGCTTCCAGCGCCAGCACCTCGCGCGAGGCGGCGGCGAAGGCCTGGGTCACCTCGTGCACGGCGCTCCGGTAGCGCGAGAAGTCGTGCCGCGGGCCGCTCTGCAGGTACTGGCGGTGGGCTCTGCGGCAGGCGGGGGTCCTGATGCCACCCTCCGCGCCCCGAGCCCGCGCAGAGCGGGGGTG